GCTCGGCCCGCTCCCAGCGTTTGCCTGGGAGCCGCGGCCGAGCCGCCGGGGCCGGCCGGGCTCTGCGTTCCGTGTCTGGTTCGGTGCGTCGCCCTTGCTTTGGCGTGCGTCGATTGCATGTTTCCGACGGGAGCGCTAACCCGGATCGCACTGGGGCGAACTCCTGCTCGCCCCGTCCCGTCTCATTACGGTGCTGCGCACGGTACCAGCTGGGCAGTGATCGCCAGGAGAGGACCGGGCTCCTCTGTTACTGCACGCGCAGAGGAGAGCAAGAGGGAGTCTGCCACAAGGAACTCACAGACGTGTAAGCGGGTCACTTACCCTGCAGTACGCGTCGGGGTCCGCAGGTCGTGTAGCACGGTCCACCGAATAGGCAGCGCTTGGCGGGGGGGTCCCCGAAAACTTTCCCCGCGGTCTGCCCGCTGAGCTGGACTTTGGTACAGAAGTAACGAATTGCTCTAATTATTTCCTGTGCGCAAACAGAGTAGCTCCAGTGAGTCATTTCCATTTTTTTGTCCGAGTCTAGCAGGACCCCTAATTGTAACTCACTCTGGTGGATAATAAAATAGTTTACGTTTCGGCAGATGGCAGTAGCTATATTTATTAGCACACTGTTACGTTTGATCTCAGCAGTATCTCCATGCAGTGTGTCATTCTTCTTTTCCCTATGAGGAAATACATATTTAGAGAGGCCAAGCGAGCTGGCCGAAGCTACCTAGCATTAGCAGACCACACCCCAAAGAGACTCCTTTCCGCTGCGCCACACTGCCTCCACTGATCGTTAATTTGGAAAGATGAAGGCAAACTGGCTTCTGCACTCTGCCTACAGGTAGCTCTTGGCCCGCTGCCTCCTGTCAGGCACACGGAAATCTTCTATTTGAGTTAAGAGCTGTCCCAGCCAACTCGCCCAGGACCGACAGTATGACTTACCTAGTGTAGGCACTGAAAACTGTCAGCCCCAACATGTTTCTGTGGTTGTACTTCTCTCTTCACTTACCTCAGGGACAGTGTTTCTAATTCTGTTTTCATTAATCTAGAACTCCTTTAATTATTTCTGGGACATGCTAAAATCCTTCTAGTTCTTGTTCCTTTGTTCCTTCAGGAAATTCTGAGGTCTGTAAACACTCTTCCTAGCAGATGTAAAAAGGGATCTAGTTCTAATGAAGATTTTTTTCTTCAAATGGGGAGACTTCATAATACAATGTAACATTTATGTTACTGTTTCACAGATCTTAGACGGTAAAACCAGTACTTCTGGTGAAGTCCCTTGTGATGGCAGAATTATTTTCAGGGTATGAATTGCATGTGTTTAGGAGCTATTGTGAAACTCTACCTATACTGTAAGATCGGTTTTATTTAAGAGAATAAATTCCAAGTTGCACCTGGCTAGATTTTAAGTTAAATTTTTTAAATGTTTCCCATTCATAAATTGTAAACTTCCTGAATCTCACTGGCCTGAATTCTAGAGTCAGTATTTACGTTTGTAGTTTTGTGGCTTTCTTGTTGCTTACCATATTTTTACAGATATTTATAATAAGCTGCTGTGATTGGCTCCCATTGTGGTAATAATCTGTCATCTTTGTTTTTGTCAAAGCTGACCGTATTGCCAAGTCTTCAATGTATCATGAAGGCAGAAAGTATAAAAATGTTCCTGAGTGACTGCCCAGTAGTGTAATTTTTGAGGTATCTGCTCCTGCCCATTTATTTTTTATTTTAAAGAGAATAAAAAAAATAACAAAGCAATCCTGCCCATTTAAAATGCTCCCCTGAACCATTCATTTACCCTCCCATATTTCCATAGGCACTTGCTGCTCATTTGTCCCTCAGGACTATTAATACACACTTCTTCATTATTGATGCCATGTGGGCAACCATTAGACAAATAGATAATTCATCCTGTGGTATCTTCAACACACTGAAGCAGCAATTTGTGTTCCATTTCAACTGTGCAGCTGGCGCAGTTCTTAACTTTCCAGTGCTTCGCAGAACCGGAGACAACTTGATGTAAGACGGCCAAATCTGAGCTCCGTATGGCCTGGACCGAGACTGGAAGGTGTGAATTCCCTCGAGTACTTAGTGAGCACTGTGGGGTCCCCTTGTCCCCTGAGACATGGTGTCAGCGATGACGTGTGAGCTGCTTTCCGCCCTTCACTTAGACCTGCGCACTGCGCTGTCCTAGGCTTGGGTGCAGTATTGACAGTTGACTAGCTTTCACTTTCAGACAGACTTCTAAAATTCAGAACCTTTAAAAAAAGTACATTTATTCATACTTCTTAATTGTTCTTATAATTGTGTAGTCATTAGACTGTTTTGGGGGATTTCGTATATAATTCATAGACAAGTAAAACATTTGTAGTTTTCAAAGATCTTTTGGTTCGTAAAACATCACTAAATCAAATATATACTGGGCAACACGGAGCACTTTTGCAATTAGAGCAGATTAATAATTTCATTGTGTGGAAGCTCCAGTGTTTACAAAATATAACTTTTTTCTGTGGTAAAGTAATGTATCTGCTCAGTTTGCTCTTCTAGTTATTAGGGGAATAATAACTACAGTGTATATATTCCTGTAGTTTATGTTTTAATTCTTCATGTGTGTAAGTTGCATCATGACTTTTAAATTTTGGATAAAATATTGAGTAAAGAACCTTAAATATATTTATAATGTAATGTACAGAGGACTTCAAAAATTATAGTATATCATTCTTAATTTGAAGGGCAAGTTTCTGGGGAGAAAAGCACTTAAAGTTATGCAGTTAGACTGTGTAAAACAGTGGTTCTCAACCTTTTTGGTCGTAGGACACTTTTTATATATTACAACTCAAAATTCAGGATCCTGCCAGTTTTTTTCTCATGTATATTATACGGATATTTATTGGGTTAGAAATTAAAGCCAAAAGTTTATAAAATAATAGTAGTCAGTCCATTATATATTGATACACATAGCATTCTGTGTGAAACAAGTAATTGCAAAAATATGACTATGAAATTGTTTAACATTTTTAAAAAATAATATCTGCTCAGTAGAACAGGCAAATTATGTTTCTTCATTCAGGCTCTTTTAAGTAAAACCTGAATAAAAGTAGCTTCAGGCCACGTTGTGGTTGTAAGTGGAATTGTACTGGGATCCTGTTCTGTCTTCAGTGCCCTGCTGGTACTCTCAGGACCTGGCTCCCTGCAGGCCGTGCTCCTGGCCCCTGGATCCCTATTGGAGAAGCCTTTGCTGGATGGATTCAAACCGTTAGTACTTCCAAGGAGCGGCACGCTTATATCCGATTGAGTTGTGAAATCATTCATCAGGGGTTAGAATATTTTCTTTACTGAGTTATGCAGATTCTTTGAAAGAGTAAAACATTTAATAGTTGGTGAAAAATCAGATTTCTTAATATTACCTCTGCCATCTCAAAAACTCAGCTCTTGGGGAGCAATTGGAAACTTCATTCCTTTCCCAGAAAATGTCTGTGAGACACCCCCGTCTGAATGACCAGTTTGTCAAGGGTCTTTAAAAATTAAAATATTGTCACTGGGAAACTGCAGCTAGTTCAGCTTCCTATGCACAGCACAGTCCTGTTTTGTCATGCATGTCACACACAGTGCTAGAAAGACACCTGTTGGTTGAGGTACAGTTAATAATTTTTACTGTTTCTTCCCTGCTATTAAGTGAAATTGGCTTTTCTCCCCTCCCGTACTGTGAGCTCATGGTGATAAAGAATACGATATTCTTGCATGTTAATGCTGTTGCTTTGACTCCTGCATTTTTACCCGTCTTTCTTATGCAGCATTAGTGCAAAGTTCAGATGGTAAGGTAAATATGTGTGCGACGCTGATCTTCCAGACCCCTTGAAAGGCTGTTTGTACCTCCAGGAATCTGCAACTACCTTTTGAGGATTATTGACATAGAAACTGTCAATAGATTTAATCGGGACTTTAAGCAGAGCACAGTGGTGCATACCCGTAATCCCAGTACTTTGGGTGGCTGAGGCAGGAGGATCACAAGTTGGAGCCCTGCCTGTGAATCTCAATAACTTGTGAAGACCCTGTCTCAAAATTTTAAAAAGTGCTGACATGTAGCTCAGTAAGAAGACCCATTTCTTAGTTTGGAGGATATTTTGCAAGGGGAACAATATAATACAGGACACATAGTTTATAATATTATTTATAAATGATAGTCACCCAAAGAATGATATACAAGAGAGTGCAGGAAATCTGTCCACACACTAAGACAAAGGAATCTAGCTGAGGGCGTGCATCCCAGAGAATTGTCCTACGTGAGTCCAGCTGAAGACATAGAGCTTATAACGATGCCTCCCACAAGTCCAACTGGAGGCCCAGCCTAGAGCCCATAACAATATCTCATGCAGGCCTGTTTCACAGATCTGCACTGGGAAGGCCCAAAGGTCAGTGGTGGAATCTAGGAAGTCTGTGCCACTGGGATGAAGGATCTGTGCTAGCAGGCTGAGGATTCTACACTGGAGCTAGGAAGCGATGCGCAAAGTAAGAACCAGAGCTCCCCTGAAAAGTACCACAGCCATCCTCAGCAACAGTGAGGTCCTAAGCTCCTCCGATGATCAGGAAAGCTGAGTTCCCATCAGGAAATCCAACGCAGCAAGCTTCTCCAGGAGACTGGCAGTGCACCATCTTCCCCCAAGAGCCAGGAAGTGATGCCCAGAGTGAGAACCAAAGCTCTCCCAAAGTGAACTGAAGCTATTCTCAGTACTAATAAGGTCCCAAGCTCCTTGGAGGATGAAAACAGCCAAGTTCATCAGGGAAGCCAGCATGACAAGCTCCTTCGAGAACACCAACAGCTCCTAACAGCTTTTACCAGCTCGCAGCAGACCTTTCTCGGCACCCAACAGCCTCACTTCTTCTCCAGTACTGCCTGTTATGCTGCTGGCAACAACCCTCAGGTGGGCCTCCCACACCCAGCACCATGCTTACTCAGTTCAGCTGGGGGTTATACTTTGACCACCAGTTGTCAATCCACTACAGTCCACCCCTGGTCAACTTGATAATCATGCACATTTCCTTAATCCATAGTCTGTAGTGGCAGATTTGTGAAAGTAAACATGTCTTAGTCTATTCATATTTACATTAATGTAACAGTTACATATGTACATTTTTCTTTTTGCCCTCGTTCCTGCACCAAAAGCAGAATATTTAAAGGGTGACCAAAATTCAAGGTTAAAACATACTTTGATTAATTAACCTAATTACAAACATATATAACAACAACATAAAAACATATTGAAAGAACTATTACAATCACAGTCCTTACTTCCCATTACTTTTTACAGTGCATGGCAA